GGAGTGCAATGGCGCGATCTCGGTTCACCGCAACCTCCGCCTCCTGGGTTCAGGCAATTCTCCTGCCTCAACCTCCTGAGTAGCTGGGATTACAGGCACGAGCCACCATGCCCGGCTGATTTTTTGTATTTTTAGTAGAGACGGGGTTTCACTATGTTGACCAGGATGGTCTCGATCTCTTGACCTCGTGATCCACCCGCCTCGGCCTCCCAAAGTGCTGGGATTACAGGCGTGAGCCACTGCGCCCGGCCTTGGCTGGCTTGTTTACTGCAACCTGTTTTAACAGCAAAGTCTTTGTGACCTGTATCTTGTTCTGACCTCCTACCTCATTCTGTGATTTAGAATGTCTGTCTAGGAATACAGCCCAATAGTTCTCAGCCTTATTTTACCCTATTCAAGATGGAATTGCTCTGTTTCAAACGCCTCTGACAATTTTATTTATTTTTTGTAGAGACAAGGTCTCACTGTGTTGCCCAGGCTGGTCTCAAACTCCTAGACTCTCCTGCCTCGGCCTCCCAAAGTGCTGGAATTACAGACATGAGTCACTGCACCCAGGCTTTCTCTGTCTTTATTCACCATTTTTGTCAGCTGGGGCACTTGTTAAAAGACTCTTATGAATCTCTTTTTTCTCTGACTTCCATTCACAATATAGAGCTGAGTCACTCACATCCCATAGGTTGTCCGGAATTTCTCTTCCCTGGCTAACAAGCCACTGGCTCTGCTGCATGTCCATGGGTTCCTGTGGATCCTGTGGTGCAAAGGCTGAGACCTCAGCCCTAAAGCAGAGCCCAGCACAGGAGACCACCACCAAGGCCCTTGCTCAGATATTTGGTTTCTGTTGGTGAAACCTCCACTCACTGTTCTCACTCATCCTGGTGAGTGGAAAATGAGCCCATATGAAAATGGTCTTGGGACTGGGAGCCCTGCTAAACCCTTGTTCAGGTTAAACTACCTTAAGTAACAGAGAACATAACTGACTGAGCTTAATCTCCTAGGATATTTCTCTGTGCTGAGAGCCTAACGAGGAAAAACGTTAAAACAGATCACTCAGCTGATGGCAAATATATGTGACCAATTCCAGGCCTCAGCCACAGAAGGGACTTGATGGGTTGGACCTTGGCACCACCCCTTCCCCCACTGCCCCCACTGCCTTGGTCTAAATCTGCATCTTGCAGAATTCTTTGCACAACAGCAGACCTATTGTGAGGACTTTACTCTCCCTACCCCATGCCCCAAGCAAGTAAGATGTTTACTTCCAGTACCAGAAGGAGGCGGGCATGCAGGCAGAAATGAAAGGAATGCTAACCAAAGTCAGATTTTCAGGCCACTCCACTTCACTGGGGTCTGCTTTAACCTCTGGGAACAAGGTAAATGGAAAGCTGGATTGTTGCATTCTGCTCTCAAGGCTAAAGTTTTGATTCAAGGCTTTCCTCTTCAGTGCCTCACAGCCTTCTGTTTCACTGTGATGCTATTATTTACTCATCCTTTTGCGCAGGAGGTCACCTAGTGTAGACAAGTAGAACTGGAGACTGAGTCTCTACCTATGGTCTGTCAGAACCTAAGAAAGCCAGTTCATTTCTTTCAGTCTCAGTGTCCTTATCTGCAAAAGTAGGGGAATTATACTGAGCTTGCTGGATTGGTTTGTGTGTGTATGTATGAACTATAAACGTCTGAAAACTACTACACCCTTAAGAATGGGTTACTACTGCTGTTACTGTTATCTGTGCCTTTATGTATGTGGCTGTCTCCTCTACCAGGCTATGCATTTGGAGCGAGAATTGAGTCTGTACTGCGAACGGCAATTACAGTGCCTGCCAAAGAGGAGGTGCTGTGGAGGCCAAAGCAACTCCATCTTGGATGCTAATCCATCACTTTAACTTCCGATTAACCCTTGCTCTAGGAAGGCCTCTAAGATTTCCAGTTTATTTGATGTTCCTTGTGTGAGAGTGGGTAGTTACTGTAAATCCTACCCTGAGGTCAAAACAACCTTAATGTTATAGTACTTAGATTGTTCTACACACCCATTCTGAATTGCATATACCCTTTCCAATAGCATATAAGCC